GCGGAGCTGGCAGCGGCTCCTCGGGAGCTCCGTGGTGCGCTGTAGGGCAGAGTTGGGTCAGACCTGCGGCCCTGCCTTAGGGTGCTCCAGCGACATGGGCGACATCGGGCATCGCCCCCAGACAGAGCAGTCTGGCTCTGGCAAGGACTGTTTGGCAGCTGAATGGGCCTTAAAAACTCACTTGTTGACCACCTCGGTAGCATTTAGGTATCGTCTGTATGTAGCGCGTGGTGTTTCTCCCAGCATTTGTGCAGGCAATGGGAACTGTTGCGCTCACCAAATATAAATATGTATTTGCATTTAATGTGACAGTTTTGCAATTTAGGATGGCAGGTAGCTGATCTGTTTCACCTTCAGCTCAGCTGATCCTCTTGAAATGTTCACATCTCTTCCGTAGTAGTAGTTGGTGGATTCTTCTGAAATGGCTGGTTTGGGTTTTTTTGCTTGTTTTTAATTTTTGCATATTTACAATAGAAGCAGCTTAGCAAGCCAAACTGATGGTTAATGGTCAACCCTATTTTAGACACAGCTCTTTAAAAAGCTGCTGGTTTTCTGCTTTTATTGCCTACCTCCGTAGGCTGAAGCTTAGCAGGTAATTGTTCTGAAAGTGAAATTTCCAGGATAGAAGTGGGTAAAAGAAGTCATGGAGTCCTGCCACACTGATGCTGGTGAAGCTTTGTCATTGATTACAGGATTTTGTAGCCTTGTCCTTGAACAATCTCAAATGTGGCATCTGCAGTTGACTTTTTTTTTTTTTTTCGTTATTTGTTTCCACTTAGGAGCTGTGAACAAAGAGTTCTTTTTGCCCGGTTGTTTTAGTTGTGAAAGGAGTTTTCAGAAGGGGTAGCCAATTTTTTTTAGACACTATACAGTTCACAGTACATTAGAGATAAACAAGTGAAATAATAGAATAAACTATCTGTAGCCATTTCTTAAGATCTAAAAACACTTTTTGAAGAAAATCTGTCAGCATTAGTGCTGAATTTTTGAAAGAAAGTTCAGAGGCTTCAGAATTGCTTCAGAAACTGTTGAACTCTGACTGGTAAAGCAAATGATATTTGGTGTCTTATAATGCAGACTTCTAAAATATTTCATTATTAAAGCTGTTCTGTTCTTGTAGGCACCTCCTTTCATCTTCACAATAAAAATGGCAGAAACGACACCTGATGCCTCTGAGAAACTGGTCGTCATCCACTCCAAAGCTCACAAAGATACCATTCTAGCTAATTTTGAAGAACAAAGGAAAAAGGATTTTCTTTGTGACATTACTCTAATAGTGGAAAATGTGCAATTCAGAGCCCATAAAGCTTTGCTTGCTGCCAGCAGCGAATACTTCTCAATGATGTTTGTAGATGAGGGTGAAATAGGGCAGTCAATTTACGTGTTGGAGGGAATGGTTGCAGACACCTTTGGAGCGCTGCTGGAGTTCATCTACACTGGTTGCCTCCGTGCCAGTGAAAAAAGCACGGAACAAATTCTGGCTACTGCACAGCTGCTGAAAGTGACTGACTTGGTGTGGGCCTGTACGGACTATCAGGCCAGCCGTAGCCCAGGTGGTGCGGTGCCAGCTCCGGCTCACAGCGGAGCCTCTGTAGCCATTGTCGCAAGCGACAAGAAAAATGAAGATCCACCAAAGCGAAAACGAGGGCGACCGAGGAAAGTCAGGAATGTCCAAGAAGAAAAATCAGGAGCAAATTTTGCCGAAGATGTGCAGCTGAGAGAGAACAACTCCATGCAAAATAAGCAAAATTTTATGAAAACAGACGTTGCAGCTGAAGAAATGGTTGCCGGCGAACAGGCTGCAGTGAGGAAAGATGCAGAAGAAAATGAACCTGCTTGTGGGTCAGAAGCTGCTGTCGATCTGTCAGCTGAGAAAGATGAGAATTATGATCCCAAATCTGAAGGAGTGCAGAGCACTCAGAGCCGTTACAGCAAACGTAGAATAAGGAGATCAATCAAACTAAAAGATTATAAACTTATTGGTGATGAGGATGAGAAAGGACTGGCAAAGAGAACCGACGGAAAAAGAAAACGTGCAGGTTCTGAAGCTCGCTGTAAAGACTGTGGCAAAGTATTTAAATATAATCACTTCTTAGCTATTCATCAGCGAAGCCATACAGGTAGGCGTTAAGGGACTGCTGCTTTTGGGTTAGGGCTTAGTGACTTGTTGCTAGATGCGAGCTAGTTGTTGAAACGTGGGCTGTTGTCTACAGCAAGAGCTGTCCAAACTAGCATGCTGATCTAAGTTATGGTGGGCCGCCTGTGTGCGCTGGTTTATTCTTGTCAGCAGATCTCATAGCCTGTACGTCTTACTTTGATTGCAGTTCAGTTAATCATTTCTCTGTTTAAACACTTGAGTTATGTAGCAATACTTAAGGAATTATTTTACTGCTGTGTGGAGCTTGTCTCTTTAATTCTTGCCACTACACAAAAGCCATTTTTAGTAGCTGCTACATTGCAATGCATTTCACTACCAGCTTAGAATATCTAGTGAGAAATAATGCATCTCTGCTTAAAAATGTCATTTTTTTGCTTCTAGGGGAGCGCCCTTTTAAATGCAGTGAGTGTGGCAAAGGCTTTTCCCAGAAGCATTCTCTTCAAGTCCACGAGCGGATGCACACTGGAGAGCGGCCGTACAGGTGCACCATCTGCAGTAAGGCTCTGACAACAAAGCATTCCCTTCTGGAGCATATGAGCCTACATACAGGTAAATATTTCAAGGCAAATGTAATCTCTCTCCCTTAAGAATCTGGTTTTCTAAAAAAAGGTATTTCTGCTCACTCTCGTGTGTGCTGGTTTATTTATTTATTTATTTATTTCCTTACGCTTGCTTTTGATGTGGCTTATGTTTTAATAAGTCATTTTCTCTCCAGGGCAGAAGGCTTTTACGTGCGACCAGTGTGGGAAGTACTTCAGCCAAAAAAGACAGCTCAAGAGCCACTATCGAGTACACACAGGTATGGCAAGTTTGGGTCAAAGAGCTGGCTTACGGTCTGTGCTGGTTTGTCCTCCTAAAGATGGGCTAAGGCTGAAAATTCTTCTTCAGTGATGTATTTGGTCTCTGCTTCCCTGACGTGCAGAGCAATCTGCCAGCAGTGCTACCTGGCAATGTGCCCTTTTGGCCAAGAAGGCCAACGGCATCCTGGGTTGCATTCAGAAGAGTGTGGCCAGCAGGTTGAGGCACGTCATCCTCCTCCTCTACTCTGCCCTGGTGAGGACACATCTGGAGTGCTGTGTCCAGTTCTGGGCCCCCCAGTTCAAGAGGGACAGGGAGCTACTGGAGAGAGTCCAGCAGAGGGCTACGAGGATGATGAGGGGGCTGGAGCCTGTCTCCTATGAGGAAGGGCTGAGAGACCTGGGGCTCTTTAGCCTGGAGAAGACTGAGAGGGGACCTTGTCAATGCTTATAAATATCTAAAGGATGGAAGTCAAGAGGATGGGGCCAGGCTCTTCTCAGTGGTGCCCAGCAACAAGACAAGGGGCAACAGGCACAAACTGGAGCACAGGAAGTTCTGTCTGAACATGAGAAAAAACTTCTTTACGTTGAGGGTGACAGAGCACTGGAACAGGCTGCCCAGGGAGGTTGTGAAGTCTCCTTCTCTGAAGACATTCAAATCCTGCCTGGATGCAGTCCTGTCGAACTGCTGTAGGTGATCCTGCTTTAGCAGGGGGGTTGGACCAGATGATCTCCAGAGGTCTCTTCCAACCCCTACCAGTCTGTGATTCTGTGATGTGTGGTATCTTGATGTAACAATGAATAAGGTGAAAAAGGCAAAGTGGTGTATAATAAATGGAATGTTTAGAAAAATAGTTAATTGAGAAGGGCTCTTATGATGATTAAAAATTAGTTACGCTGTATTTGACGTAAAACTTGATTGTTTTAGCCCTGTTGTCTGTGCTATGTAGGAGCTAGGCGTTGTGTAAAAATGGTGTCCGCTGCCTGTTATGCAAAATTGCCTTGTGGTTTCCTGCTACTTTGGACTAGTAATGTCAAACAAGCTTTAAGAAGTGTCCTCCTCTCTTCTGGAGCAGGATGGAGGTTAAGCTACACACAGAGGAAGTGGTGGGAAAAGTCAGAATTTTCAAAGCTTCAAGAGAAGGTGTGTTTGGGGGAGGGAGCAGGTGTCAGTCTCCTCTTTGCCCATGATAGTATTAATTGTCACACTCTTATTTCTCTATTTAAGATAGGGAGGAGGCAGTGAATCGCCTTTTGTTTAATCTCTGTATTATATCAAAGTGGTTATTTTACAGGAAAATGCTTTAACAAAGATCACTGAAGAGGTACAGGGGATCACTTATGCACTGACACTTTTTTTATTATTGTGGCAAGGCCATTCACTGCCGGAATGTAACCAGTGTCGTCACAAATTCATGGATGCAGCTCAGTTAAAGAAACATCTAAGAACGCATACAGGTAACATTGTCCGTCGTGAGTTGTAGTTTTGGTTTGTTTGTTTTTTTTTTCTTAAAGTAACACGGGCAAAACAGCGTTAGGCAAATGACACTTGTCTCCGTGGGGTGAACTTCTGCTCTCCTTGTACATAGTGATGCCTGTATTGCTGACGAAGAGATTTGACAGTTGGAATACAGGAGCACAAAAAAGCTTGTACTACAACAGCGCAGAAGCGGCACCTGTTATAGGAAGAGCTGGATTTTTTTTTTTTCCCATTCTTATAAAGCCTGCTGCAGCAAATGCCAGTTAACTCTCCTGCGATAAAATCCTGGACTGGGAACTCAGTTTATCAGGAGAGCTGCAGCCAGCATAGGTGGGGCTTGAAGTGAGCGAAAAGTAGGAGAAAGTGTATGTCCGAAATGATTTGGGCTCCCCTGTCTGTGAGGGATGGGTGCTTACAAAAAGTGCTGGTGACCAGAAAAACAACTATTTCCATTTACCTTTTTATTGCACTGTAATAAATCAGATGTTGGCAGGAGATGGGCTGGGAGGGATGATTTAATGCAAGTGCATCAGAGGGGTTTTTTTAAGAGATATAGAGGGCAAGGTGATACTTGAGTGGCTGGATAACAGATAAAAATGTTGATCTACCGTCTTATGAGAACAAAGGATAAGCTTCTTAAAATAGTTTTCTTTGAAGGGTAAGCTCATAACATGACGTATGAATGTTTTTTCTTTTAAAATAGCTATAAACAGTGGCAATTGTTTCTTCCGAAAATCAAATTATTCTTAAGCATGTTGCCTGCAGTTGTAATAAAATATGTATGAGATTGAGTATCATATCTCATTCATTTCCTTTCTCAGTGAAAGTAACGCAGCTTTAAATTCCCTGGGATATGATGAGGTCGGAACTTGTTCTTTTGTGAGTTTTTGGTGTATCCAGAATAGCGTTATTGTGTGATACTTGCAAATACTCCATCTTCTGTGGAGGAGAACATAGTGTTTGTTGACACACGCACACAACAGTTTTGTGTCTGGAGCTGATACAGCTCTATAAATGTGGTGGGAGATGAGTTTGGGGGTGGGAAATAAGAAGAGGAAGCATACTAGCAAGGCAAGTTGCAAAAACAGGTGACCTAAGATGAATTCTAGCAGAAACTGGCTTGCAATGTATTTTGCTTCCAGAAAAGACAGGCCAGATACCAGTATTAACGCTGCAGATATAACAATCGATCTGTCCCATCTCAAAAGCAAGGAGTTTGCAGGACAGGTGTTAACACTGATATGACTGTTCTGCTTTGGCAGCGGTTTTGTAACAGCGGCCCATAAGAATCCAGTCTACTTAGGAGGTTCTTCCTGGTTTCACCGGGAGGCTGGGACTAGATGACTAGAGGCCCCTTCTGACGACTGTTTCTTGTTCTCTCATCCTTTACCCCTGCCCTCCAAAGCCATATGAAAGCTGATAAGTGTTGCAGTTCTGTGCTAGATGTGAAGCTTCCTTGGAAACTGGCTGCTGCCCCATCCCCGGTTTCAGTGTGCTTTGATGGTGTGAATTACCACAGCAGTGATCCAGATTCTCACGTCTAGTGTCTTAAGGAAGCTCAGTGCAACAAGAATATGGTCTGGTGTGAATTAGGATTCGCTTTGGTTGGGTAGTATCTATTTCTTGTGAACCCTTTTGTGATTTAATTTGGCTCCTCTGCTTCTACTCAATTAGACACAAGAATTACAAATGCAGTTAAAAAACCCCAAAAACCAAAACCAACCAACCAAACAAAAAACTCACAAAAAAACCCCACAGAAAACAAAACACAATTTATTCAACCTACCATAATTTAGTTTTTCTCCGACTGGTGTTCCCAGAATATCAAAGGCCTAGGATGATGGAGCCTTATAGGAAGCCAGACAACTTGTTACAATAATGGGTGCACTTTTCAGTTTGGAAATACAGGCTTAGTCACGTGCAGGGTGCTGCACGTGAGCCCACCCTGCACGTGAGCCCGGCATTAATGCCTACTAGTTCAGGGTCAGCCTTTTTCAAACTTCTCTGTTCCCTGTGGAACACCCGCGTCTGTATCACAGGTACATTTTTTTTTGTTGCTCTGAGGGTTTGGATCACCTCAGTCCTTATCTTCAAAGGGGAGAAACTCCAGAGATGCGCGTTTAAAATACTATACCCTCGTTTAACTAGTGAGTTCATGCAGTTTCAGGTATCTGCCCTGACCCATGGCAGAAGCGTGAGGATTTGACAGTACACATTTGATACCATGTATGGTAAAATATTAAAAGTCTTTATATATTGATGGGAAGTGCTATATCAAAAGTGATGTCAAATTTCTTTTTGATAGGTGAGAAGCCCTTCACTTGTGAAATTTGTGGCAAATCGTTTACAGCTAAAAGTTCTCTTCAGACTCACATTAGAATTCACAGGTAGTGTGTCTAATTTTCCTTACATTCTTTAAAAATGTAACTTCTAATCTGATCCCTACACATAGTTCTTGTTCAATTATAGAGTGGTCAGGGCTTGTTTGCATTTTGGATGGATGGTTAAATAATGTTTTTGGCTTAATCTATTTAAAGAAATAATTAGTAGTGGAAAATACTGCACTGTTAAATACTAGTGTGCTAAGACGTAAGATTCTTCTTTGGTATGTTGTATCTGTTTAATGACAATGTACTTACTGCTGTATTATTTATGTGAAAATTTTACTGTGAATTTTTGTTTGACAGCAGAACAGTAGCCATGGTGTGATGAGGTTATTGGAGCATTGTCCCTGTAGTCTTATCATATCTCTTTAAGATAGCATTAGTTATCTTTTACCCATGCCAGTGTGATGTATCGCATAAAGGCACATCAGATTTTAAATCACTGGAGAACTGTTGTGGGCCTCATGTAAAAGAAAATGTTCCCAGTAAAATTTCTCATCCCTTTGAATCAGGCAGCAGGTTAGGGTTTTGGCCTGTTCTTTTTGTTTTAAAGCCCAAACTGTTAATATAACGTTCTTAAAATGGTCAGTGCTTACACTTGTGCGAAGGAAGTTGTTGCATTCTCGTCAAGGTCTAGCAGCATGGAGTTCGTACCTCTCTGGTATTATGGTAGGATGGCAGTTACCTTGTCTCTGTAGCTCTTGAGTATATACCTATGAAAGTGTTGTACAGTTTGTGAAGTTAAACAGAAATAATTAGGAAGTCAAATAGAGAATGTTTTTACTGTCACTGGTCTCCAGTCCTTATGATTTAGCAAAACAAAGCAATAATTTAAGTTTTATATTCTGTAATAAGTTGCTGAAAGCAGCACTGCCAAAGTGGGCGTTTTAATGAGATCAAATACCTTCTTTTGCAGAGGAGAAAAGCCATATTCTTGCGGTATTTGTGGAAAATCCTTTTCTGATTCCAGTGCTAAGAGAAGACACTGTATCTTACACACGGGCAAAAAGCCTTTCTCCTGCCAGGAATGTAGTTTGCAGTTTGCTCGTCTGGACAACCTGAAGTCTCATTTGAAAATTCATAGCAAGGAAAAGCAGCTTCAGGAAGCCAGCGCTGCCCCAAGCACCAACACTAATTCAGAAGTGAGAAACATTCTTCAGCTGCAGCAGTATCGACTTGCCACCTCTGGAGGGCAGGAAATTCAGCTGCTGGTTACAGATGCGGTACATAATATAAACTTCATGCCTAGTCATAATCAGGGCATTAGCATTGTTACTGCAGAAAGTGCCCCAGAGATGACACCAGGGCAGGCTGCTAACCTCACGCTGCTTGCTCAGCCGCCGCAGCACTTGCAAAACTTGTTGCTTTCAGCTCAGCAGGAGCAAGCGGAGCAAATCCAAAGTATCAATATGATTGCAAACCAAATACAGACTGCCCAGCCTGAACAAATGCATGTCATCTCTCTTTCCAAGGAAGCGCTGGAACATCTCCATGCCCATCAAGGACAAAATGAAGAAATCCACTTAGCAGGATCTTCACATCCAGCTCAGCCCATGCAGCTGACTCAGGGATCAAGTCAACAGTCTCGCTCTAGCCAAGATGCGGTTCCTTCCCATCAGATCAGTGAAGAACAGAGTCAAAGTGTACATGTTTCTGAATCCTGTCAGCAGCCTCTGGCAGTAAATGAGTCATCTCACGAGCATCCTATTCAGGGACAGGCCTTCTGAAATGCTTATTTGCCATCAGAGGGCTAGGCTATAGCACACTTCTCATCCAAGCAGCGATGACACGTATCGCTCCTTGTTTTCTGCAGTATAATCCATCTGGAGATGCGTTTCTTAGTGATTTTGATGGGTGACTTTAAGTTTTCTTAACCTAATTTATTTTAGACTTTTTTTTATTTTTCCAGATTGGTGTTTCTCTACCACTTAGTCCATACCTCACAAGCGATTAATGTGGTTTTGTGTGCCTCGTACACATCCATGCCTACTGAGGAGATATTTGGCCCCTCACTTGCATTTCTGCGTGACTCTCCAGTGTACCCTGCTGGTAGAAGAACAGTGTTTAAGACGCCTGCTGATCAGAAAGTACGACTTCTCTGATGAAGTCAATGTTACCTGAACTGCTGTCAAGCTTGAGATAACGAGTACTTTTTGCAAAGCTAACACTGTATGTCTTACGTTTAATGAGCTTTCTCTCTGCAGGTTTTCTGCATGGTTATTCCCTGAAGTGCATTTTGATTTATTAACTACCAGATTTGTTTGGGTTGGGTTAAAATTCTTGCAGCCTTTGACGGGCCCTGGATCACCCCTTCTGTTTACTGTATGCTGTGCGAGTTTTGCTCCTCAGAAATGCTTAAGCCATTGCACTTGGATAGTGGCAGTGAGATGTGGTTACACTGGACAACTGAAAAGCCCAAATCCTGCTCTGTTAAGTTCTGCCACTCGCTCTCTGTGTGACTGTGGGCCGCGTAGTTGACCTCTGTGCCTTATTTCATCATCTAGTAAGTGGGGATAGCGTTCACAGGCTCTGCCAAGCACTTTGAAGAGCTCTTGATGTTGAAGGCACTGTCTGTTGAAGTGCAAAATTCTCCCCCTGACAGGATTCAGTCTAAGTTTAGGAGGCAGTGTGTATTTAAAGCGTTATATTTTGTACTTTGGAGAGCAGAATGTAATGTTACTTTCAATATATGTTAAAGCTGGTAATTGTTTTTGTGGGGACTTAAACAATGAATAGAATTGCTTCAGAGCATAATGAGCTATATAAATGGGGCATATCGCGTCGAAGTTGTACAGCTATTTTCGCTGACTAGATTAGATGTGTACTGATTGTTTTCAATGACTGACTGACTGCTAACAAAAAAGATCTGATGTCTTAATAAAAAGCCATGCCAGAATACATGCTTTGCATTTTCAAGTTCGGCTACTGGTGACATCGCACATCGTGTGCTAGTGCGTTAAAATCCAGATGCCGCTGGTACTTAAAGCAATGCGCTCAATCGTCACTTCAGTTTTAAAATGTCTTACTTGTGATTTACTTTGAGGTCTTAGGTTTTAACAAATGAAAAAAGTAAAACTTAAGGTGACTTTAAAAACAAAAGATCTTAGTACGTGCTTGGCTTATATGACAGCCCAGAGAGACCCAATGGCATAAAAGCCCAGTGCGTAGGATGACAGAATAATTTAAGGTGGAAGGGACTTCCAGAGGCCATCTGGTCCGTCACCTTCCTCAAAGCAGTTGTGCCTGGATCACGTCGCTGTTGTCTGGTTGAGTTTTGAACACTTCCGGGGTGGACATCCACAGCCTCTCTAGGCCACCAGTTCCAGTGTTTGACCATATTCTCAGTGAAAAAAATGTTTCCTGTATTTAATTAGAATTTCCCATGTTCCAGTTTGTGTCCACTGCCTCTCGTCCTACCACTTCACCTCCAAGGAGTGTCTTCTCTACACCGTCCCATTAGGTAGCTGAAGACAGGAGTAAGGTCCTCCCAAGGCCTTTTGCTCCTAAGGCCTGAACAAACCCAGCTCTCTCGGCCTTTTCCATCATGTCCTCCAGCTCTTTAATCACCTTGGTGGAGTTCTGCTGCCCTCAGTCCAGTATGGCAATGTCTGGCTTGTTCTGGGAGCCCAAATTCTGGATGACTCACTCAGGCCCAGACAACTTGGCCAGCTCCTGACCGCATGCTGCAGGAGTTTGGGTAAGTAGCTCCATTTTTTTCAAAGTGCTAAATCAGTTTTTATATAAATGGATCATGAAGAGTGAGAATACATTAATGCAAAACAAAAAACCCCAAACCATCCCCCCCCAAAACTCTTATCTAGGCTTTTCACCTTTTCATTTCTCTCAGAATGGAGAAATAAAATTTCTATATTTCCTGTCACCAAAGAGAACTTCAGTTGTACCTCACAAGCTTGAGGTCTTGATACTGTAAGAACATGAAAAAATACAGTAAAGTGTGTTACAACATCCACAAGAATCTTATTGATTAATTGTATAAATTTAAGTTTACAGTAAATATTCTGGTGTTGTCATCCTAACAGCTTTTGATTTAATCTAAAATACTGTACTGTGCAGCCATAATACTGTCTGGTCGTAAGTTTACAGGAGCTTGCACGGAGTTCCTTCTCTGCCACATATATTTTATGAATCCTGAAATGCTTAAAGGCTGGTTACAAGCTAAATTCTAAGACTACCAGTAATGTAACTGCACTTGAGCAGCTCGTGGTTTTTTGTACCACAAATGTTGCTTTTTTGACACCATTTGCTTCCTTGCTAGTGAATTTCAATTAAAGATTAAAATAAGTCCCTCTTCTGTGTGTGCATTTTTAAGGCTGCAAACGACGCCTAGGATTGCTTTGAATTTGAAAGGAACCCCCTTCTGCTTTGCTTTTTAGTCCAGCTGCCACTAAGAACTACTTAGCAAAAATATGCATCCCTTCAAAACTGCATTTCAAAGCAGCTCTCAATTTCTTTACTCCTTAGCCAGTAAACATCTTAACTTCTCATTTTCTCACATAGACTAATCTTAGCAAATCCATCTCACTGCTTACTATGTTAAAATGAGATTAGGATTTTAGACATAAATGCAAGACAGTAAGATGACTACAGAAAGATCCATTTTTGTGAGCAATTGACACTATTGTGTGTTTCTTCTACTCCATTTCTAAGTTATCCAGTGTAATTGAACTCTAAAAGGACTTTACTATTCTTTTTCCCAATGCAAGTTTATGAAATTTTGTCTTTTTCTGAAGATTTTGGCTGGTTCTCCAGGTGAAAGTTGAAACAAATCCCAGAGAGGCAGAGCAAACACACTGTTGAGCGTGTATTTGACTGTTGTGTGCGTGCTTACTCTGCTTCCGAGTTACATTCATGGATTAGCTGTAAGTAGCATTTCTTGACCTCTACACTCTGAAGTTCAAGAGTTTGCTGTTCTGTGTGTGAAAGGTGAGGTGCTGGCAGTGTGGATTAGACCAGCAGGCCTTCCAGTCCAGCATTTTGGTTTTGATAGATGAATATTGAGTTATTTCATATGAGCTGCAAAAGTAAGTTATCCTGCCAGTAGGCGAAGCTTCACCCCAGCATGTGTTACTTTGCAAGGTTGGTTTGCCTTCTTTTTCTTTTTTTTTTTTTTTTTTTAAATACTTGTTTTATGCTCTTTCTGCTCAGAGGGACTAAAAAAGCACTACTTGGAGGTTTGGAGCAATACCTCCTAGTGTCCTTCTTTTTTTCTTTTTTTCTCTTTTTTTTTTTAAAATACTTGGTTTATGCTCTTTCTGCTCAGAGTGACTAAAAAAGCACTACTAGGAGGTTTGGAGCAATACCTCCTAGTTTTTAAGTGGAAGAAGAGATGACTGCTTCACCATGAACTTTCGAACGGACTGCCTGTTCACAGGCTGCGTTAGGGGTGTTAAGCCTGGCGTCGATCTTCTCAGTCATTCACCAAGGTTTGCATCTCTATTTGTAAAACGCTTGTTTTACTGTCTTAGCTGGTTAGTCATCGTGATCAAGTTCGTGGTTGCTCTTTGCTAAAACCTATCCTAGTGTGCTGGGATTTATTTATTTTTTTTGTCTTTTCCCACTTCACCTTAAATGAAACCCAGTAGGGAATTCGTTCCTAGTGATTGACCCAATGCCCATGTGAGCATAGCAGCCTGGTGTGTTTTCTGTCTCCCCACGTCTTCCGTCTCTGCAGCAGACTTTGGATGACTGTGTAAGTGTTCACATATGGGAGAAGCTGAGTCCAGCTTGGGAGTGGCTGGCAGGAGACAGGTTTGCACAGCAGGTGTGCCCCGGAGTATGGGCAGCAGTCAAGGGTGCTTCCTGGATAGGCTTATTTTCCCAGGGTTGGAAGTCCATCTGTGCAGGCTTTTTCCTAATCCTACTGCTACTGCAGGTTCTCTTTGAGAGTGGAGAAGGCACTGGCAATGCTGTATTTGCCATAGCTATGGTTTCAGGATCTCTCTTACCTGTTCATTAGAGGCATTAAAGAGTCTGCTGTTTGCAGACCTGCAGTCCTGTGAGCTACAACAGTCCTGTATGCTCCATCCCTTTTCAGATCCTGCATAAGACATGGTGAACAATGAATCGTTTTCTACAAGAGGGACTGCTCTTTGTCTCTGGCTCAAGCAATTCTTTGAATGGAAAAAACATCCAGGCATATTCTAGGTGAACCAGCATCTCACTGTAGTATGCATACTGCTCATTTCTGGCTAATATTTTAATCCTACCTGACAGAATTTGTCTTTGGAAAAGCAGGATGCAGAAGTTTGCTTTCGTTAGCAGCTCCCTACCCTGTCCTGCCTAAGACCTGCAACTGTATCCCACTGTCTGTGCCTTTCTGAAGGGTGCTGATTCTTAGGTGTTCATGGGTCTTCCCTTCAAACCACTGGATCCTCCTTGCCTTCAAAGGTAGCATGCCTTGTGGCTATTACAGCAGTCACCTGAAGAAGTTCAGGTGGTTGTGGACAGCCCTTATCCCTTTGGCTTTGCTTTGGATTTCTTGATGAAGTGATGTTGGTTTCTGCCTTCCACCTGGAAGACTAAACTTATAGAGGTCTTCCTTCTTTCTGGAGCTGAATCTGTCCTTTGTTCCCTGGCAGTAGGGAGACCTTTTTTGAAGTCTCCTGCGTTGTTTGCTTCGCCTGCTGGGCGATCCAACAGCTGTGTTTTCCCTGCATAGCATCTCTTGGAAAGGACTTGTGGCAGCCCAAGGGCCTGGTGTGAAACA